AGATTCTCGAGAGTAAGAATCAACAACATGTGTGTATGTAAATGCTTGTTTTAGTGCCAGTATTGTTACGTAAAACTGAAATTTCTAGAAAACCTCCACGCGTCTATAAATATACCCAACATGATGCATCAAAGAGAGTATCTATTATTAGTTTGCTATAGTCAGTGTGCTACAAACTTTGGAAACTATAAGTGTGATTGTTATAATGCTTCTCAATTGGAAAACTTCAGATATTTGACCAGAAGCACTTACAAAGTTCGAACATTATATCTCATTTAACTTCAGTGGATTCTCATTGGACATTAGTATTTTTACGAAAACATTACATAACGTTACAGTGGAAAACTCAGCACGTGTGGCTGATAAATAATGAAGGACAAAGCTAGCTAGTTTCCCATTAAGTGAATTATACCTACGTCAACTCGTTCATCGTGAATCCTCAATAACATATCAAAGAAGTTTCAGACTAGAAAGAAGACTTTATATTGACTAAGTTTGTGAAACTTTTGTCTATAAATCATTGTTTGTAATAACTATTTGTAATAACTATAATTGTAAATTGTATTTTTGTGTGTATATTAAAACATATTTGTGTTAAAACGAAAACTGTGTATCAATCTTGTTGGTAAATATCATAAACTGACTATATATCGGCATATATTTAAATGCTAAATCCAAAGTACAATTTAACTATTAAATTTAAATTTATCAGTTAACTCAATTTCAAACTATTTGAAATTCTAATACATAACAGCAACAAGTCATTACACCTGTCCTTCTACATCTTATATCCCATAATCTCATTTTGCCTATGCCTACAAAAACATAAAATTATCATAAACAATTCTGCAGAAGTTTAAACAACTCAAATAAATTTACACAACCATCACTACAAGTTCTATCCAAGTCTAGATATTGTCATGCTCTTTGGTTTCATCCTCCTGAGCAAGAAAACTGTCTGAGGATGGATATGTGATAGCATCAAGTCAGAAAATGAGGGAGACCTAACTTCAAATTTAGTTAGAAATAAATAAAATTACCATTTATTCTTCCTTAAGAATTACACAAATGACATAAATTTAACCAAAACTTAATGCCATAAACAAGACAACAACAACAGTAAATATAAGCAGATATGTATATTTACTGAATTACAGTGGACATAACAGTTACAATCAGGTAACTTAAATACCCTCTTAACCAATATTCTCATTACACTGTAACTTGTATTACCTAGTAAAATCAAAATTCTCCATTAGACTTTACAGAACCCCAACAAAAGTCTGAAAATTATCCAGCTTTTGAATTGCCATATTATTCACTGTTTTTTTTTAAATATTTTAAAATTACTGCAATCTTCTAAATACATAATTATTGCATAAACATACTACTGCAACATCTTAATGCAATATCATACTTCTCAAGTTTATTGTATTTTAATTGAAATTACACATGTTATGTTTACTTTTATTTCTACCTATACATTTAAATTTGATGTGTCCCCTAAAGGTTAAGAGTTCATTTCTTAATCTAATCTTTAATATCCGATAAATTATATTAAACTTTACATTTACCAAATACTACTTCTTTAAATTCTACAGTCTAATCACTTTTATATGTTTTATAATCTACAATCTTAATATCCTAATTCTTAAATGTAGATCAGATATTGAAACAACATACACCGGAAATATATACAGCTATCATTAGATATTTTATGTATTTCTACTAACCATGTAAATAAAAATCTGAAAAAATATACAGCCACCACTAGTAGTCTTAATCATATCCACACATTCAAGATGATCATGAAACATATTGTTGTAAGCTATGTTTTTAATATTGTAATTTATATGTTAGCTAGAAGGTGCATTATGGTAAGATGGGCCTATAATGCCTATTAAGTTTTAAGCTAGCAACAAGTTTTTATTGTAAGTTTGAACTTAGATTATAAAGTACAGTTTTTCAAGATACAGAGTTGAATCAGCCAGTGTGTTTTTGGAAAGTATTTGGATTTGTGTTTGTTACTGTGTTCATTAAAATACCTTGTAGAACTAAGATGATTTTATGTTAATCCTAGTATTTTTAGGGAGATTTGAATGTCATTTGTAACATAGGCCTGCAACAACGTACAGTAGCATACAAGTATTCAAGGTTGTAGAAATGTTGAAAAACTAACTTGTTAATGATATGTGAAAAAGACATTGAAATATTTTCAGCAGATAAATTAAAAGAACCTGCCAATGAAAGAACAACATTACAATCATATATACAACCATAACTGTAAAGACTTATCAATGTTTACTCATCTCAAGAAATCAAGGAACATATAAAAAATTTAGTACCAGCTATACTAATATTCAAACACCCAAAATTTAACTTACATCAAGAAGAGCATGCAGTTGGGAGTCTTCCAGGACAGAGAGCAGAAAATCTCTTTCACGTTTGCTACAGTCTGTAAGACAGTGAATATTGTCCAAACTGTCCAGCACAGCTGAAACAGCTCCTACAGGAAACACAAAACAGTTTCTAAAAGGTAAATTTAGAAACTGCACACTTTACTTTGAGTATTAATAAAAACTTATCACTGAAGTGTAAACTGTGGTATAGGTCAACAGTGCTAACTAACTTAAAATATTTAGGGGGGGTAGAGGTCAAAAGTGCTAACTAACTTACAATATTGAGAGTGGTATAGGTCAATAGTGCTAATTAACTTACAATATTTAAACCAATATGAAGTACTGTAAACCATTTTATTTACTCTACTATTTTGAAAGCTGAGCTTCATCAGTTATTGTTCTGCCCACATGCTTTGACATAATAAAAGGGTTGCAATTAAAGGCTGTTGTAATAATTTTGATTTATTTATATATATATATTTTTTAAACTCATTTTTTCGTCCACTTGGCATGTTAGAATAATGACCACTTTACAAACTTCTAATCTTTTACCTCAAGCAGGGTGAAGGAGGATTGCTAATCATTGAACACCCTTGGCGAGTAATAGTTTTTCTCGAAACTATTAACTTTACACCAAAATAACTGCCATAGACACAGATGCTGTTGTAATAAAATAACTAGAGATGGGAAGTAATGTGAGAAACAAATCACAAATCATTATATTTTCAAGGAATAATGATTTATCTAAAAAATATAAACCTACAGTTTGGTATGGACAGAAGCTTTCTAAAAGAATCAATCAGCATGTTTTTTTTTTTACACATGAGACTCTTCAGAGCAGCAGAGAAATGAAAGTTTGAATTTTGTTTCATTTTCCTCTGTAAATTATACTAAATAAATTCAAAATGACAAAATACTAATTATAAAATAATTTTGAATTAAAAATTGTGATACCCAAAGTGTGCACTTTACATCAAAGAGTAATTACAGGTCATGATAGGGTTAATGGTGTGTGTGTGTTTATTAATAAACAGTTGTTCATCAAAAAATCATCCAATTTAATTCAGGATTATCCACATCAATACCCAATTTACTTCAAAATTTAAAGTAAATAAACCTGTAGAAAACCATACACAAAAACATTTCTTTTCAATGATAAGTTGTTTAATTATGTTCAAAACATAACACCAAGTCAGCAATATATTGAGTATTAGTATAATAATATCTTAGCATGTAATGATTATCCTTTTGAGATAACATAGTTATTGAACAATCTGAAAATTTCATACCAGCAGATGTAACTTCATCACTGACCCCAAGCTTAGAAAGGCCATCAAGTGGTGGTTCAATATAAAAATTGGTCCATTTTGGGCTTGAAACAGCTGCTAATACTGCCCCCTACAAAAGAAATCAGGTTTATCTAAACATTCCTGTGCACTTGAACTATTTTATGTGAATAAAATTTAGCTTTTTGAACCTGTCAACAAATATAACTAAACTAGCTACATTTTGCAAGCATTTAAAAACCAATGCAACATTTATGTTGCTACTTATAAAAGAATGTCATATATATAAAATTTAAGTGTCATATAATAATTATCAGACTTAATAATTTTTCTTGAATAAAAATTTATAGTTCAACTCAGAATAACTAAGTAAATTTTGAAGAAATAATGAATTCCATTTAAATGTTTGGACTTAAGATAAGAAAGTAAAACGTATTTTTTCTAGATGCACAATTAAGATCTACATCACAAAGCCAAATCTGTGTACTACAGTCTTGAAGTCAATAATCTGTGCTTTAGAATCCATAACTCTTATTACTTCAAGTTCAAATGTCTTTAAGTTTATACTGTACAATGCATTCATCCTAAAATTCCATATGAACTTGGAGATGCTTACAACCACCACTGTGAATTGCAGTAACTTAAACGTTCTAGAATCAACAGTGTGCATTGCAATCATTCAAAAAACTTGTATAAGAATCTCAGATATAAAAAAATCCACATCATGAATTGAAATCATTATAAAACTTTATAAGAGAACTATAGGTATCCAAAAGTTCAGTGTGAACTAAAATCATTCTTAAATCCTGTGTATGAACTTCAAACATCAAGACATTCACAGTGCACTGTAATCATCCTAATGTATTTTTTTGAAGCTCAAATATCCACTATCCAGGAAGCACTTAAGCTATTTTGCAATTCTATTTATGGACTTCACATAACTTAGAATCCACAACATGCACTGATTCCATTCTTATATTCCACTGCTAGCCATAGGTATTCCAGACTCTCTACAAAGTGCATTTTATCATTTTAAAACCCTTTAAGACTAGAAAAATAATTTATGAACTCACAATATGCTAAAACCTAACAGATTTTCAATAAAAATAGTTTATGTTTCATATAACAAGTACAATCCAAGAACTTTTAAGTAACATATAAGCAAATTTTATATGATTATTTCATAACACTGAGTAAAGCTGGTAAATGAAATTTATCTCTGAAGTAGGAAACAGAGATGATACAAAAGCTGTGTGTCAATCTCCACACAAGAAACAAAGATAAAATAATGTACCTTTAGTTTCCTTCTTGCATTGAACTTTCTTAGTTCCTCTACTGTTTCCTGAAGATGAATTCTTGGAGCACTATGATCTCTATCCTAGAAATACAACAAGAATGAATCAGTGCAGATTTTATTAGAAAATCCATTACAATTACAACAGTCAATTACTTTTCCATTTTCATTCGACAATTAACACCAATTTTCAAATATAAAGTTTTATTTATTCTTCAAAATTACAAAGGTATTTAAGAAATCTAACAGGTGTGTTATTAAATAAATGTATAGCTAAAATGTACTAGAATTCACCATACGAATTCAGCAACATTAGGTAGCTAAGAGTCAAACACTTGCATTTCAGAAAATCTAGGGTCCAGTTATACAGTTATATAAATTTAACACAGAGCTATATTTACTGTCAAAATGCAATTCCACAGATAGTTTAATCTGAAAAATAACAATTTATAAAAAGATAAAGAAGATCTAACGAAATAGTACAGTGTATGGTAAAACATTATCAGTGATTATAATTATTATATCAGCTAGGCTTGCTCCACAAGTTTATGCAGCTAGATTAGGCTTTGTGACCAAAAGTACCCATTCTATGATAGTTAACTTAATTGTAATAACAAAAAGGATTTGAATTACTGCATTAAAGAAATGTCCTGGAAGTAAAGTGCACTATTTGACCAATTTTTGTTTCTTAAAAAAAAAACGTAGTTTTTATTTTCTAAATGTGTGAGTCGTTTGACCTAACAGTGCTTGTTGAATGTCTGCTATATCTATTTACAAATATAAATGTCACTGCCAAAGTTGAAAAATGACAGCCAATTTTAACTAAACTATAATTTCAACTCGTGTGTTTCTTAATAAAGTTAGAAGATAGTCTTAAATTAACTTCAGAACTAATTCCAAGTACACATTTCCAGTAAAAGTTTGTACTGTTGCTCTTTAAATTTTTCCAAATAATATTAAAAAAAAGGGGTAAGCAAGAATGAATATCATGAAACCAATAATGTTAAGTGGATCTTTCACCTTATATGTAGATCAAGTAGTAGAAAATCAATTTAAAATGGCTCTTTCTTCATAATTTAAGTAAAAAAAACATAACAGCTTGTGCATACTTTTTATTTTTTCTACATGATGGTAACGTGGTAACATAACCAAACTAAAACATTGAACTGAAGAATCCTTTATGAGTTTTGAATTTTCAATAGTGAATTAGGTTCACTCAAGAACCAAGCAAAGAATAGTAAAAAGCTCTACCTTGAGCCATAAGTGGTTTAAAGCTTCTTTTACTGTTATTCTTTCCTTAGCATCAACAGTCAGCATTTTCTGAACTAAGTCTTTAGCATAGTCACTCACGTGGTCCCATGGACGTCCAGCTAACTAAAATTAAAGAAAAACAACAACTATGTATTACTAATAATTATCTGTCAAATTCAAATCATAACATGCTTTAAAAATTTTTTTTACTAAAATAAAACAATCTGATAAAATACAATAGTGAAAATGTATACATATGATCACCCACTTTTGAAAAATACGGAGCTGTAACATCTGTCGAAGAAAATAACAAACAACAATAAATAAAACCATTCAGTGAAATGTTAAATGGTGCTATAATATAAATGACAGGAGTCTCGTTTATGTTAATTTCAATCAAAAGTGATGAATGAACAGAATAGAATTAGAATAGTTAAATTTTATCTTGATAAAATTAATATAAACTTCTGATTAAAGCAAGCTACCTAAACAAATCAGAACTAAAAATCAACCTTGTAATGAGTATAGCTAATGAAATATACTTAAAAGATTAGAGTGCATTATTTAATCAGTTGGATACTCTCTGTTAACCCTATTTCTACTATAATCTCGATAGTAACTCATGAGATTTGGCCAGCTTAGAAAATTTAGGTTAGTTCTAAATACATATATTAAACTAACAATATTAAATTATCTTTATAATGAAAATACAATGATAACCAATAAATAAAAACTGATATATTAAACATTTTAACCTAAAACTGTTAGTGAAAGTAATGAAGAAAGAATATAATATACCTTATTTATGAAACATGAAAACTAGTGCACTATTGTACATTCAATCAGTATATGCAGAACTTTACACAATCTTCCCTAATAACGTCTAGTGACCAATGAATGTTCATTAAATATCTTAGCCAGAGTGACTTTAGAGTAGTTTGACATCTGGAATAAATTACTCCACATGTTACTGTTTAATGATAGCAAGACAGTACAGTAAAATACAAAATAAGTTAAAAACAGAATCATAGAAGAAAAAAAAAAGCAAGAATATTGACACTCTAACTGAAGTATACCCAAGTTAAATGTAATAAAAAACTATTTACTATGATGTGTGTCTAAAGCAACTCAACTAACTTTAATTTACCCTTGTAATTTTACAACACACATGGTATGGGTATCAAAAGTAATAAATAATTAATCCCTAAACAGTAGTCCATAGTATATGTGATAAGATTTGGGAAAGTTCACACCAGTAGTAAGACTTAGAAAAGGAAGTAACAACAATGGTAAATATGACAGTTCAAATAATGAGCAAAAACTAACGTAACTAATGATTTCATGCTATATTTTATAGAGTTTGTTTTAAATTTCATGCAAAGTTATTTAAGGGTTATCTGCACATTTTACAGAGAACTGTTATACAGCTTGCATTAACTATACATATTAAGAACTTAAACTAATGGTGGTAACCATGTTAATATAGTGGTTACTTAATACTTTAAACAATTTTTAAATATCAGAAATAAAAAACTGTTGAATTGGAAGAATCTAGTGTTCACAAAGCTGTATGAGAATATACTTTGTGAAAAATGAGAGTGAGTTTATGAGCCCTATCCTTGAAGTATTTCAATGTTGAACAAGTACAACTGTCTTTAATAAAATGAAGAGTCATCCTATTGTAATGAGTAGCATTACACTGTTCTATTCAAGTTTTGTTATTATCTTGTTCATTAAACCTGGTAACATCTGTTGAAGCAGATCAAAAGCTACCTCCAATAAGTTTAGATTGCATGTATGAATGTAGTGAAAACCTGTTTAAGAATTTTCATTCGAGTTCAATATGTATATAGTAAACATCATAACCTAACTTACTCGAGAAATTTGTATTCAGAAATTGAAAGTGTCTGTTTTATTGAGAATTTTGAGCTTAAATGTTTGATTAGTGATGCTGACATCTAAATCAGGATAACATGTTTTATTTTAGTGACAGTTTTTTTTGGTTTGGTTTTTATAAAATGAGTTCTGGTGGATAACTTTCTTGGCAATTTGAAGAAAACCTGGATAATTACATATAAGAATATCATCAGTATAGCTAAAAGCGTGACTCACATGCAAAGGTTTATTATCTTTTTTTCCTACTATAAAGATTTGTTATGTAAGAAAATCAAAGTTTGAATGAGTATGAATCTGCAACCTGTGAGCTGGAGTTGACTTCCATAACGAAAGTTTGAACGTCGGATCATCAAAAAAAATTCAAGTAGATTTCCAGAAGACTAAGAAGCTCAAACTCTTTCAAACAGTTGACAATTTTTTGAGGAGCAAAAAGGTACTCCTTGTCTTTGTTAGAAGACATGTTGGTCAACTTGCATAAATGTGTTGTTAACTAAAATATAACATAGCTTGTAAGAATATAGTTAATGTGGAACAATGAAGCCAAAATATTAAAAATAATTTTTTTTAGTTGTGTGTGTGACCCTTATGAAAAAATAACCAGAGTCAACAACATTTTTGACTTAAATTTTGATTATGGTGTGCAAAGAAGATTTTTATTAGGTAATATTACAATTCATGCAGTTGTTAAAGTGGGATGGTATGTGCTGATATGTAAACCAGACAGACAAAATAGCAGTATGACAAACTGGCACAAAAATTTGAAGCTGCGAAGCATGATTATAATTAATTATAATAATTATAATTAATTACTTGTCATAATACATTATAATTAGGTCTATTATATGTTTTAACACTAAAACATTTTAATTCATTCCCTTAGTTTTTTTTTAAGCCTGATGAGCTCTGTAATGAGTGAAATACATCATCTGCATAGTATGGTTGAAATGCTATTACATACTTTTCTTTTTCTTGAAAATACCACAAGAGACTGAATACCACTATCTAATGACAAGTATTATTAGTTATAAACAAAAATGGTATACTGCTGCAAAACACCTTACCTGCTCCTCTTTGGTTTGGCACAAAATTATGTTTGGCTTTATTGTCGCTGCAATTATACTGCATGTTTCACCTCAGGACACTGCCTTTATGCTCCATAAACATAAACCCCACATAAAAAAAGATAAAGTTGCATACCTGCACCTCCTCGAAACCACCTAAATGTTATAGGTGAATGAAATACCTGTATGAGACTGCATCAGGGCTAAGGTAGAGGAGGGGAGTAATTTGCAAAAAATGTGATTCAGAGTTATAGTGTGTGTAAATTAGTTTACACAATGTTACATTAAACTTGAAGGCTGGAGGAGATAATCTGTAAAGACTACAGGGCTACAAGGTGAATTAAGTGATTTGTACAGGATAAATTATTGTAATCACAGGAAAGATAAAGTAGTTTGAACAAGATTACTTTAGATTTACTTGATTTGCACAATGCCACATTAAGGATACAGAGTAGATAAACCAATCTGTACAAGACTACATTAGCTACAAAGAGCATAAAATGACTTGTGCATGGTTATCATGATTATAAGGTATATGATGTAATTGGAAAAAAATAACACCCATTTGAAATTATATCAATATTAAAGATGCATAACTTAACTTGTACAGCTCTAGAAGTTGTAAATTTTTTTTATAGGAGGCTATAACAAGGTTATAAAGTTGGTGAACAATTGTGTATGAAATTATGTGAGGATTATAGAGTGAATAAGGTAGCCTGTATAAGATTACATCACGACACAAGGTGGGAGAAGTATTTGATAGTAATTTATAATACATACAATCTGTTTAAATATTAACACCTGCATATTACTTCATACGTTGAAAAGAATTAGCTCTCATACATTAAGACGTCCTTGACAAATGGATTCATACAAGTTTTCCTTGGTCCCCAGAAAAGGAAGTGTTCCACTTAGTAGCACATACAAGAGTACACCACAACTCCAGACGTCTGCTGGCTTTCCATATAAACAATGCTGAATGACTTCTGGTGCCATAAAATGAGGAGTCCCAATCCTTCCTGATTAAATAAACACTACACCTTGTCTTTAATGAGAAAATTAATTATGAATAAAAACAAACATCCAAATATTTAATTTGCCTCATTAAGTGAATTAAATTCATCTATTACTTTATGCAAAACTCACTCAATCTCTTAGCAACAGATTCCATAACTATTACAACTACAAATAAAGAAAAAATAAGAACTACAAACCCCAAAAATAACTGTATGCCTCAGTCAAGTGCTATCTAGTTTAAAAATCATGAAATCTTCATTCTTAAGAATCTGATTCTTGATCTATGATAAATCTCAATACACATGTAAAAATCTGCATATGTCCTTTTTTCAGAATTCTTTAATAACAGTTGCTATTTCCAGGTAAATTTCCATATGTAAGTTCCATAAATTTCTTAAATTGAATATGTAATTCCAATAATATGTACCTCCTTTTACATTGCAGCCATTACTCGACTACTAGGGTTTCCTTCCTTTGCCCATCTAAGCATTGGTCTGATTTTTTCTTCCTTGCTCCAGTCTGTTATTCCCCACTTAATTGCCCTTGGAGATATCTGTCTCATGACTCTCTCCAGCTACGTCAATGCCCCTCTATCCTGGTACTGTATATAAGCATCTCATTCAGATAATATTATCACTTTTTCGAGACTGACCCAATCCACAATCCCTAACTCTGGCTCTTAGTGGGAAGGAAGGGTGGGAGAATGTGAGGGAGGTAAGTATTATTAGAAATACATTTTTGATTTAAGAAAATGTTAACTTCCAAAACATGCTTACCTCCATACAGAATGTGTCTGAATAGATTGTGGTCCTGCCAATAGAAGATTAGCACCCGAGTGGGGGATCCACACTACATCTCTTCACCCAGAACCTAATTCATGCATTGCAGGTGGAAGTTGACATGATCCATCATCATTATTGGCCAGGCCCCTACCAGGCAGCCAAGGTACCACTGCTTGGTGTTGGAATTATAGGGCCATGGCCCCTAAATCCCATGTTGGTGGCTAGGACATTTGGACAACAATTTATATATTTGTGAGTGGATCCCAACCTGTAGCTATAGAGTGATGTGTTCCCAGCCACAGGAATCATGATGAGAAGGTAATCACCACTGACGTGGACAAACCCTCTCACCAACCTAAAGAAGTACGAAAGGCAACACCTCAAACACAGAATGATGGGAACCTGTATGCCATACTCAACCTGGCGAAACAGAACTCATTTGATTTGGAATTATGAACATGATAAATTCCACTTGTCCCTGAAATTATGGGAAGGACATGGAACAAACTGTGCTCAATCTAGGAACCAGGATGAACAATGTACTGAAGCAATATTGATCAAAAAGAAGGGCCACACTCAACTCAGCCAGATAGCCAAGCATCCAATCTGAACTGCTATTATGAGTAAGCTCCCGCATAGTCTGGTGCCTCTCCTACCAACACCTAGAAAAAAACATCTAGGGATCCAGGAAGGAGGGCCCCCAATTTCATCGTCTTCTCCAAGAATATAGGAGGGGGAGTAATGCATGTTAGGGAGTCCTGAAGAACAATGCTCTGGAAACAGTGCAATAGGTGAACAAAGTTCCCTACATTTTTAAAAGCAAAACGACCCCGATTTATCCAATCCAATGATCGGCAGGGATGGTCAGGATCCCCTTATGCTCTGCGTATGATAGTTTACAAGTGGCAGTCCAGCATAGTACACTAATACCACCCAGTCTGCCTCTAGGTGGTCTTATGGAACATCTCATTTTTATAGTGCCTGTTGCAGCCTAGATGAAGTATATTGTGTTAATGGTTGATAGTGCAGATTTGGTTTGATAAAAGCACGCCTGTCTGGGCAACACTCGCCACAGAGTGGAATCCTGTGAAAAAGAGGTAAGGGATCCTGGAAAGTAAAGAAGAGACAAAATTAATAATGAAGATACCAACCCCCTTCATTCTCTAGCGGATATGATTAAAATAGTTACAGAGATAGTCTAAAACCCTCAGAGGACAATATTAACAGATCATGCAAATAATGTGAGATAAGAGTATTGGGGGAGGTCCACATACCAGGCTGCATAATTTCCTTCAGTGGGTAATTCAACTGGGCCATTATGGACAGAGAAATGTGACAAATCTAACGATACGTGACTCCCAGAAGTCTCCACGCTTAAAAGGAGAGCCCAGAATAAGTGATATGGATCAATTTTTGTACTCACCTCGTCAAGTTAACTGGGGATAAATCCTGGGAAACTGTACAATCCCAATGAACAAAAAGTTGTTGAAAGGCATTGGTGCAGGCAACATAACACTTCTAGGCCCTCAATGGACACAACAAATGATTAGGATCTGATCAGTCATAGAGGTGAGAAATAGTAGTCAGATGAATCGGTGAAGAGGATTTATCCCGTTCACTGGTTGCCATTGTCTTGGAGAAGAAGAACTGATTTGAATATGCAGGTAGAATAATAAAGCTTAAGCTTTGGGATGGCTGGGTGTCAGATCGTGGCTGCCTCAACAGAGACAGCCAAGGTGGAAGTGGAAGAGGTGGGCACTCCTAAAGGTACCACAAAAGTGGAAATCAGGGTTGAGCTGGCCAGTCCAGTGTTACCAACAGAACACGATGAGGGGCCGAACGAATCATAGCTAGGACTCTAGCAGTGGAAATGCACATGTCTATGCAATCGCGTCTAGTCCTGACTGAATGTATATATTGCCAATGCTGGAGGATGAGATACCCGAGACCAAAATGGTAGTAGTTGAGTGTTCCAATGAGTGGCAAACTCATCAATTATTGGTGTCCCAAACGGAGAGCAAATCCAATGGAAACCTCATCATGCAGCATCCATTCTATCAGGAGAATCCGGTTGGGTCGAGATAATTGATCTGCTACCAAATTCATCACTCCTGACACATGGAAAGCTAGTAGGATGATATAATGGGAGTGGGCCCAGTAAAGAAGATCAATGTTTGAAAACAATGTGATCTGGACCATGTGTCCCCTTGACAGGAAATGAAAGACACCACCATAGAATTGTCAGAGTGAAGCCTGATGATTATTACTATCAACAAGTCCAGACCTTGAGACATCTTCCTTTGAACACCAAGAAGATCTAAAACACTGATGTGTAGTGAAACCTCACTGTCCATCCATAGGCCTTGGAATTCCTGATTCTGAAGAGATGGATCTCTGGACGAGGTGGCGGCAGAGGAAGACCTATCATAGTATTGTTCCTATCCAACCATCACTCAAGATTGAAGATGCTGATCCTGAATAAGGAAACTGGGGAATCCAGTGGATCACTGTTCATAATCCATTGATTGCATAAAGACCACTGAATAGATCTCATGTTCATTCATCCCATAGGAATGAGAGATTTGAGTGATGCCCACATCCCCAAAAGAGAAAGAACCATTTAGGCAGTGGGAGAAAGAGACCCGAGTAACAGTCAGACTGCCTGTTCCATAGCATGGAGCCAGATAGGAGTTGGCTAAGCCCGACTAAGGTACGTGTTGAAAAAGGCACCCAAATGGACGATATATTGGATTGGAGTGAAAATAGATTTCTCGGCTCTAATAATAAAGCCTGCCTTGGTTGCTTCTAAAAGTAGAATCTTGGTGTGACATTCCACCAACTGTTGAGATGGTGCCAGCAATAACCAGTCATCCATGTAATGGTGTGTGCACAGGCCTATGGAATGGAGGTGACAAGAAAAAGATCATACGATTCGGCAGAATACTCATGGTGCCGATACTAGTCCGAAGGACAGAGCCCTGAACTACAGCACCTGACAGATAGTGGTGAGATAAGTCCGCTATGGGAACATGTAAATAGGCACTGGCAATATCGAACTTGGTTACCCACAGTCTTGGCTTAAATTGACAACACAGGGTGAGGAATGATTCCATCCTGAACTTCAGAAGATCTAGGAATTGATTTAGACAAAAAAGATCGATGACCGAACAGTAACCTCCCATCTTCTTGAGCACAACAAACAAACAGGAATAAAACCCTGAAAGAACTGGGAGGACTCTCCCCACTGACCAACAAATATCTGACAGCCCTGGAATGAAGTTCTAAAATTCAAGGATCTGCGGGAGGGATAATGGTGGTGGAGATGTGAACTGAATGACTAATCCTAATGCAAGGACTTGTAATAGCCATGATAAAGGTTTTCCATACATCATGAAATTCTTGGACCGAAGCTCCCAAAGGCATATGGTAGTCTCCGACACAGCTGGCAGCATTCCAACCAAGCAGAGGAACCTTGTGGATATGGGCAGAAGCTATTTTGGATACTAATGGACCAAAGGGCTTATGTCAGGGGTCGGGACATTCAAACAGGGGCAGAACTATGACCCCATGTAACAGTCGAGGAAAGTCAAGAAGCCAACTATGACAAGGAGGAATGCAGATGGGCGACACAAATCCTTGATTCCAGGAACTCTGGAATGCCTGCAAAAATCAAGGGTCAGAAAAGGGGCCTTACATAACTCACAGAGGGCATCAGCTAGTAGATGAATGTTCTCCAACAACATACCAGCTAAGTGACTAGCAAATGTGCAGAAGCTGACAATCAAACCAAGGTATATGCCAACAATGGTCCCAACTCCTCATCAAATTGATGTGATGATTGCTGAGATATTTCTGACAAAAGTTGGAGAGATGATAAATATCTCAGAACTGTAGTTGGGGTCAGACAAATTCTAGAAAATTGTGATCTATTCAGGTTGACCACAGACTTTGTTCTGGAACCCGACATTTCCAGGAGCAGATCTATTCTTTGAGAGTCTAAATACACATCCACCTGGAAGTGGTAGGCTAAAGAATTTGTTCTGACAAATGTCACAGACAAGGCATAGCTGTCCTTTCATGTAACTGAGCAGTAAACCTCCCTCCATGAACCACAATATAAAGGTATGGAGGGAGAACTAAGTATTCACTCTCAACCATCTGCCATCAAGGAAGACAAAGACTCAAAAGTAACTGGGGGAAGATCCAAAACATCAACATTCAATTGATCAACTGAAGAAAAGGAGCCAGAGGCAACTGTTCCAAATTGGCCTCATGAGAATCCAACAGAGTAAAGGTAAGCAGTGGGAAAAAAGTGAATCTAAATTCTCTCCAGAATGTCCAGGATCGCCCTCAAGTGCAGTCTCAGATCCTCCTGGAGAAACACCACCAGGCTGAATATATGTCTCCATCTCACTGCGTATAAGGTCACAGACAGTCTCAACTGAGAGTGACTTCCCTTCCCAACTGTTAAGCAATGCTACATATCAGAGGTGGGATGGGAGAGACCTTATTTGCCTCCGTGCCGGAAACTATAATCCAGGAATTCATGCCAGATAGTGACTTGCCAAAGTATCTCTGATGGTAACAGTATAGAGAAACCTATTAGTGAATGCTTTGTCAAGAAAAAATTATAATACTACCTGAATGAGGTACTTATATACAGTACCAGGATAGAGGGTGCATTGAGTAGCTGGAGAATGTCACGAGACAGATATCACCAAGGGCAATTAAGTGGGGGAATAAAAAACTGGAGCAAGTGAGAAAAAATCAGACCAATGCTTAAATGGACAAAGAAAGGAAACTAGCAGTTGAGTAATAGCTGTAGTGTAAGTACATATAAGTATGTTTTGGAAGTAACTTTTCACGTAAAGCTATATGTGTGCTTTATGACTACTTTTCACACATAGCTAAATATTTGTGTAGAATGAGTCTTTTTTTTTTTATGTACTTAACAATAATTCTCATGACCAATCAAAATAGCTATGTTAAATGTGTCTTTCTTACACTTTCATGCACAACAAAGATGTTTTTCTTACCCTTTTCATCACACCTTATATATGCACAGCCCTTTGGATGCATCCCCATTGGATACTTCATAGAATTTTTATCTGTGAGAAAGAAACTATCTTCAATCACATGTAGTAAGATATCAAAATGAAATAATAACTAAAAAATGCATACCACTATTTCATGAAAATTAAAGATAAAACATATAAAATTTACTTTAATTAATGACCATACAACAATAAACAAGTCTCAAGTTCATCAATAATTTTAGGCATACAATTTGCAAGAAATTTATATTTGAAATCAGGAGTGAAATTCTCAAAAAAAAAGTAGAGGTACTCAGCTTGATGAAGTGGACCTGTTTTTGAAAAAGAAAAAAAATCTATGTGTAAACACAAAAAACAACTTCAGTGTCATTGAATAGTTGCTTTTTTGACAGAACAATGAAATGTATCCAAAAAAGCAGTTCAATAAATCCCAGTACCAGTACTACCTTAAAAAATAAGTTCCAGTACTCAGTACTGGTTAGTACTGGCAGAATTTCACCCGTTTGAAATAGTTTTCAAAAATTAACTTTTTCCTCAACTGAAAATGTATTTCTTATAGATACTTACCTCCACTAACTAAAAGCTTACTCAACTTATACTACTCTCTATCGGTGTAAATTTTTGCTCTCACTGGTCTTGATACTCTTACTTATTTTTGCATACTAATATGCAAATTACTATGCAGAAAATCTCCACCAAAAGGAATGTGACATTACCCCTAATGTATCTAGCACCCTCTCTAATCTTACACATGTTAACCACTTCAAGATTGGTCAGATCAAACCAAACCAGAAGTAGGGAGGATGGGTGGGAAATATGAGAAGAGGTAAATATCTGTTAGAAATACATTTTAAGTTTAAGAAACTGTTAACTTCCGATACATTATCTTACCTCCACTCCCACAATGAACTGGTGGAGGGTTGGTGAGAAAATGATTCCCCTTTAGGAAGCCCCCAAAGAAAAACCATGGAGTGTGAGATGAAATTAAAAACAACACACCCATGGGAGACTGCACCAATTCTGATCCATGTATAGTTTTCACCATTTAGTAATGTGTCATCAAAAATAGCAGAAAAATTGAGGGACCCAAAGAAAAAAAATACATGAGTAATGAGATCTCCTGGTGTAGAGTGGCTAGAGTGCAATACACCATAAATGGGAGTTCAATCTCAACCAACACCTGGCAGCATTTAGAATTGTACATCAGCTCTGTAGTAGGAAGAGGGTCCTCTACCCTTCACCTCCAAAATGATGTACCAGCAAGGAAGAGGAGCTTCCATACCCAGAACCTGCCTTCACATGTGCACACCTACAACACAACCAACACCAGATCCAGCAGGAACCAACAGCCAGCAGATGGTAGGAAGATAGAGAGCCCAAGTGGGTGTTCTTATGTAGCCCAAAACCTGGAGGAATTGGGAATTTGTCATCCAGTCCACGGTAGGATGAGGTACCCAGCCTTACACATGCAGGAATTCATGTGTCTCATCCAGCTACAAACAAGTCCAGATCCACCAGGAAATGACATCCAGCAGATGGTAGGAAGAGGAATCACCATTTGGGGTTGCATCTCCAGTCCAAAATCTGACAGCATTGGGAATTTATTGTCCAGTCCACAGTAGGAATACGATACCAGCTAACCACATGTGAGGACTTATGTGGCTGGTCCAGTTCCAACCAACACCCGATTCCCATGAACAGACATCCTGAGAATGGTAGGAAGGAGGGTGCCTCAGCCAGAAGGGTAAACTGCAGCATGTGTAATTGTACATCAGGTTCATGGTAGAAAGGGCATCACTCTACCTTCCCCAGCAGAATCCTACCACCCTACTTTCAAACTGAGTGGAATTGTGCATGTTAGGAAGAGCCTCAACATCACCGTCATCTAGCATGGTACATGTTCACAGATCGTACAGTGAAAATTTAAGACTAAGTATACTTGGTCAGGCAACACTCACCACAGAGAGAATCCAAATATGCAAAAATGGCCTTTGCAAAGAAAAAAAATTAACGGAATACTTGAAACTGGTCAACTTCTGAGGGACCAGAGCCGTCATTTCATAAGCTGAAAATCATGGTTCTGACCCATTGGTTGTGGATGGCAGTTCTGTTTCAGTCAGTAACAGGAGTTGTAGTCATGACCACCAGAAACTGTAAGTGTATAACTCATGATATTGAAAGAGAAGAGAAGATATATAAAATAATTCATAATTTTCCACAGAAGAGAATGAAAACAGTAAAGAACAATGTAACTAATGTAGAAACATTAAGAAAGTAAAAGCTTGTGGATAAGTGAATCAAACTGTGAGTGAAAATACATCTATCAAATTTGAATGCCAATCAAGAAGTGTTTAACATGTGCAAGATTAAGAGTGAGCACTAGTTACGATAGGGGTAGTGTTGCACTCCTATTGGTGGAGGTTTGCTGCATAGTCATTTGCATATTAGTGTGCAGAAATAAGTGGGAGTATCAAAGCTAGTAGCAAGCAAAAAGTTATACTGATACAGGGCAGTAAAGTCGAGAAAACTTTTTGTGAGAGGAGGTAAGATATTGTGTCAGTATAGTATTGATGAGAAGTTAATGTTAATTCTTGTGAAACATCTTTATGATTCTAAAACAAAAACAAGAGATTAAAATATTATAAAATCAAAAATAATGTACCTTTGAACCCAAACTTGCTTTTCCATATTCAGTATTTTAATTTATTTGTATTTTATAAAAGGGATACTTAAAGCATATGTCAAACATTAAATGATTATTTGAAGTGTACCAGCTTCTTTACATTACAGATAAGAGATACATAGACAAAATTCCATAATTTCCCTCCAAAATAAAAAATAAAAAGTATTTTACTACCATGGGAACAGGAGCACCAAAACATCTCTAAAACTATATCTTACCATCAACAAAGGTGAACTTGAATGCCCCTACTAAAACATTCATGCCCATTATGTACACTTACCTTTATACTTTCAAATATACTAAATGTAAATTTGCTACTGATGCAAAGATCAGTGACTTCCTTCCTTCACATATTCGTTATGACAATAAGGTTAAAAATGTTAATCAATCCTTTTCAACATTGTCTCTTTTCACTTTTATAATTTTTAAAATATACATTACAATTAATGGCTAACTTCTAACTTATCTTTTCACACAAGTACAATGCAACACTGAAGATAAAAAAACTTTATATTACCCTTATTAGAATGATCTTCTACCATTTGGGTATGCCTCTACAAGTACATTATGTCACTCAAGACAAAAACATTTATCCTACCATCATTAACATTATCTTCTTTCAGTTGTATGGCAGCTCTAAAACCATCCATTTTCAGTGGAGCTGAATTCTCTTTAGTGGCAAGTAGAACACACTGTGTATTAATATCTCTGTGAATAATGTTATTGTTGTGGCAGTAATGGAGGGCATCAAGAATTTGTCGCATGTAGTGACTAAAAGGAAAGGAATATTATTAAATAATAATTGACACAAAACTATAGGTAAAAACCAGCACAAAGAAAACACTACATTTTTTACATAACAGAAAATAGAATAGCTCTAAACCAAATTAATTACATGCCCATGTAACAATCTTATTTAAAATCAAACTAACTGTTCACAAAACATAGCAGAACTCCTAATTATAAGCAGAAGATAGCAAAATTATTTATGATCAAACTAACAGATTGTGGAATGTTTTGTAAAACTCTTTATAATCAAATGAACTAAACTATTAATAGTATGGCATATTAAACTACTGTAAAACATTAAAAATTAAAAATAAGCACAGTTTTCATGGAACTGTATGCTTACATCAGTGCTGGTCTTAACCACTAGTACAAATGACTGCTATAAATGTCTTCAAGCAAATAAAACATTTTTTTTTATTTTGCTATCACAGTTATTTTATCTCTTAAAATAACAGTTAAGCATAAATTTACTTTAAAACAATTACTGGTGACAACTTGACAAGTCCTCCCCTTTAAATCATTAGCCCCCTCCCATGTAACAAAACAGAGAGAGAGAGAGAGGATCACTTAGTTTGGCCATTGAACATGTGGTAATTTTATGGATATTTCATATATATTTAACTGAAAAAAATAGTCTCACATTTCAAAAAGGCATTCTGAAAGTATTAAAATTATTTCAAAAGTCCCCAAATTCTTGACTTCTGTGAGCAGGTACCCTAAATCTGTCATGATACAAAGGACTTCAACACCTGCTAGCACACAATATATTAGTGGGATGTGTGACATGATTACACTAATGCTTGGTGTTTCATGCTTGATAAGGTTAGCAGAGGCTAAAATGTTATAAAACATTTAACAATAATATTCAGTTTACAAATATATATATTGAGTGTCGTAAAACACCTAACAATCAAATTTTATGTAACAATACAATGGAAGGATCTACCAAAGCAGCACTTTAAAAGAGACTTCTATTTACCTGGCTACTGCTTCACTGTACACAAATCCCGCTGTTGCACGTTTTACAATTTCTGTGCATATATCTGTTCCTTCCATGCTTGAAAGAGAAATGAAAATTATCTAAAACCTATTCATACGATAATGTTAAAAGGCTGAATTTTATTTAGATTTTTAGCTTGGAAATAACATAATATTAAGTTCTGAAACTTTGCAATTTGGAAAATGAAAACAACAACAAAGGTTTATTGAATATTTCTGAATAATATGTACAAATACTTTTATGTATATCTGATGGAAAGTTGATAGAAGACTTGCAGCAAGTAGTTTATACTCAATGGAAATGATTAATTAGCATTGTCAAAGTGTAAACTATGATCAAATGAACAAGATTTTATTTTTTTAACAAAACAATGGGCTATATCAAAAACATCTTAAAACTCACATTAGATGCAGTACTTCTAGTAGTATTATAAAAACTGAAACTGTTACATCAAAAAACTACAAATTCATGAATAAAACGATTCTAAATATATCTTTTAGGCTGTTTCATCTACTACGCAAAGTTAAAATACATGTGACAAGACTCAAGAAGTTATTACATTATTATAATGCTGCATTATGTCCAAGATTAATAATGAAATATTAAAATAAAGAATCAAAGCTAATATAGAGGGTTGGGTACATTATCTTAAAATATTTTGAATATGCAAATCAGAAAGTCATGTAACAACCACAGCAGATATAAAATCAAAGTAGAACAGAATGTATCACAAGTTCAGAACAACATTCTGACATTGCTTGTATGATGCCACCAAAAATTTAACACTCTTGGGAAAGGTATGTAACAGCCCTTTCTGATGCAAAATATTCAAACACTTGAATCATAAAAGTATTTTCAAATCAGGAATTTAGAAGTTCCAAGACAGGTATATCCGTTAATGGCATTGAAAACAGAAATAAGGACTATGCTAAGAAACCAGGTCCATACTGAAAGAGACCTGCAAAAAGTTATACCACAGACATACTAGCAAAGTATGACATCTTGTCCCACATGAGGAACCACAAACATGAAGGTCAGTGGCAAAAGCTGCCCATGTGTGTCCCAAACAATAGTACACAACATAATCAAGAAGGATCTCCATTTGGAGACATGCACACCAGTTGCTTCAATATGCCCATTTACCATCACATACCTCCAGCAGATTGTGAATGAAATATGTATTCATGCTATTCCATACAAAGACAAACTGGGAAGACTCCTAATTCAGCATCTATGGATTTCTGTGTAACAGACTGTTGAACTGGGTTCTGGAAACTGCCATCCTCATACTCTAAATATGGAAAGAAATTACAGAGGAGGGATGTGCTTCAGACATGGCAGCCGTACAATGGAGCTTTTTACAATAGACTACACTGCAAGGCTATTTCAAAATGCACTCTTATCAGATACAGCATAACTGGAAAGGGCAACATGAACTGTAACAACACTGAAACTCCAAAATCATTTTAATATAACATACTCAACCTCTGTATAAGTGTAACCCATACATCAAACATCACTGTTTAACCCTGTAAAGATGCAATTTCTCATAAATTGACTCTTTTTTTAAATAATTAGAGTTTATAAATGAAGAGATTTAATTTTCTACATATAAAGTTCAAACATCCCAATATTTCTCTGACAACTTGCATTGAATTGGAATAGGAAATGAGAATTCAAAATTAGTTAAGAATTTCAATCACCTGCCAAACTAACCATAAAATAAATGAGAAGAAGACCAGTATGTATATTTTAAGTCCTAGCAGAACCTTACACAACAGTGGCTTTCCATGCAGTTTCATAAAGATATATCTATTAACTCAGTAAACCTTTTTTTGATTTATGGTATTTTCTTATTTTGATGTTTTGAGCTCTTTTGTGTTTAGAACAATATATACTAATTTTTAAAGTATCAAATTGAATTTTTGTTAAATAGAAATCTTTCAAATGCGACTGTAGGTTTTTATTCCCCAAAAATTTGTCTTCAAAATAAGGGTGCGTCTTATACACCGGTGCGACTTATATTCCTAAAAATACGGTAATTAAATAGCTTAAACAAAAATACTTACTCCTCATGTGCATGTAGTACTTACTATTCAAAAACCATATATAAAATGCCTTCACTACTATATGTTTCCAAGAGTTCCACAATATGAGGATGTTTCAACATATGGCAAATACTGGCCTCTCTCTTCAAGTCTGTAGTATCAAAAAATAAAATAAAATCACTGTATAAGTTGTAGGCTAGTTATTAAACATGCAACTTGCATGCTTTTTATTTTAGACAGGTTACAAAAAAACCTAGGTGATGCCTTGCTTATCATGAAATTTACCATTAAAATTATTAAAATGTTTGAGCACTTTATTTTGAGCCTAAAAATATTGTAAATACACTTGCATAATTAGTACCCTTTTGAAGTATTTTTAAGTTAGTCACGAGCCCCAGAACCAGATATAACATAACAAAAAGTTTAAAAATCACTCAAAAAGAAGCATTGGACTCAATTAATTTGCCAGTTCTATAGGCCTAACATTAAGCCTAATGTTCGTTTCAAATGTTAAGTGATGTCTTAGTGCTTCCCAAACTTTTCAGCTCGCGGCACACTTTTAATGTTCCAAAATTTTTGCGGCACATGTATATAAGTCCGTATGGCAGGCCTAGTGGCACCCCCCCCCCTGACTAAGACAGGCAGAAATTACTGTTATACTGTGTATCAAGGAGAAAATAAACCACATTTGAAATTCTGTAAATATATTAAATTCATAATAATTTTACATTACTAAATAATTACAAAAATTCCGCGGCACACCTGAGACCCTTCCGAGGCACAGTTTGGGAAGTACCGTCCTACATAACATTTAAGGTAAGATGATAACATTTGGAATAATGATGCTTAAAGTATGGAATCACCAAATGAACCATAAAAAAATTCTAAAAACGAATTTAGAAATAAAAAGTTGTTTATTTTAATAAAAAAGCTTTCCTTATTTAAAAGCATTGGATCCTACCATTGATATTCTTTCTTTTGGTTATTATTTTAATACAAAAATTTCGAATCGCTGAATGTTTCAAAGAAAAAAATGGTGTTTTTCTACATATTTATAATTTACGTTTCTTATTTTAGAATCGTAAAAAACGAGGATATTTTTTTCTTTTCCAATCGTTTTCCTTTTATCAATATTTACCTAAGTACCAAGGCTCATTTAAAAGATTGATTATAACTTTTTAAAGAATAAGTAACGACTTCAACAATGTTAAATAAAATAATATTAGAGAAAAATTTGTTTAATATTTCTGTTTCTTAAGGGTGCATAAGTGACGTTTGCAAGCAAGTTGTTAAAATCTAGTCCAGACATCTCTTATCCTTCATTTTATCCCTTTAACATAGATCTGAAAATTCCACGTAGAAAACCACCAAACGGAGACCAATTAGTCCAACCACTGCTGGAAGAAAGAAGAAAAGAAGACAAAAATCAAACAAAGAGTTTATAAAGAAACAACAAGAAAGAAACACGGCTGCGTAAACTTGCCAGAGAAAATGAAGAGCGCTGAAGGGAAGAACAAGAAAGAAACACGCCTGTACATCGCATCGATAGAGATAAAAGGCGAAGCGAACATGGTCAACAGTGTTTCGATGCTCTTCATACAATTTCAGAGAACCAAGTACCATCACATTACAGACAGCCTTTTACATTTGTGTGTCAACACTACCTTGCATTCCATTTTAAGGAGAAAAAAACCAGTAGTATCTATAAACTAAGCTGACATAATGGAAAAGTATATTTTAAACAAAAAAAGAGTGCCCACTCTATTCCAACAATATACAGTCGATGGCTACGTTACAGTGGCAAATCAACCACTGAAATGTATTCGGAAAACCAAGGATAACTTCGAATGCTGAAATACCAGGGATTAATGAATTTCACTAACAACAGAGCTGAACAAGGAGTTTCGCCAACAAAAAAAAATGTTATTTTGCCTTTTCCTTTCATAGGTAATTCACGTAATATACAATAACGATTCCGGAAATTGTTAGAAAATTCAGGAAACCCGATCTTTTTATTACACTTAAGTGCAACCCTAAATGGATAGAAATTGTAGATAACCTAAAAGCTAGGGAAATAAAATAAAACAGAACAGACATCGTTAACTAGTGTTTCGCCTTAAATGTCAACAGCTTTTAAAAGATTTGTTAAAGGGAGATATATTTAGAAAATTTTCAGCTTACGCGTATGTAATAGTTTCAGAAGAGTGGCTTACCTCATGAACATATGCTCATAATACTCGATAATCTACATAAACCACGTGACGAATAAGTCATCAATAAAATGGTAAGTGCAGAAAAACCATGATGTAACAACTAATGCACATCTATTAGATATGGTAAAATCATGTATGATACATGATTCATGTGGTGAAATACATCCATTCTCAGTATGTATGGATAATGAAAATGTACCAAAGAATTTCCTAAAGATTATACAGAAAACACAATTGCAAAAATAAAAGGATGTCCGTCATACAAAAGAAGTAATGAAGGAAATAGAATTCAACTTAAGGTCAGAAAAAAAGAAAACAGAAGCAGATAATTGCTGGATCATTCCGTACAACCCCCTTCTAAGTTTAAATTACAATGCCCATATCATTGTTGAAATTTGTTCAAACGTTAAAGTTGCAAAATATCGTTTTAAATATGTTTACCGGGGTTACGATTGTGCAAAAATCCAAATTAAAAAATAATTCCAACATAAAACTTAGAATAGAATGAAATAAATACATTTTTGGATTCGAGATTTGTTAGTACGCCAAAGTTGTTTGACCTTTTTTTGAATTTGAAATGCATGGCCAATCACATACCATAATGAGGTTAGCTATGCATTTTACAATGGAACAACAAGAAGATCAAGTACTGACGAAGGAGTCTAACCAAGAAACAACGTTAACCGCGTGGTTTAAGCTCAATTAAAGTGATCCTTCCGGAAAGAATGTCTCATGTATGGGCATACTAAATCACTGCCTGTAGGAAAAATTCAGTAAGGCTTGAAGAAAACGAGGTGTGTTTGTCGCCTAAATGATGTAAGCCCTCACAACAGGAATTATATTATGTGAGACTGCCTTTTTATTTCATTTGTAGATTTGAAGACCGTTAATGGAAGGATTTGTTCTACTCGTAAAGAAGCAGCTACAGAATTAAATCTTCTTGAAGATGATGCAGAATGGAAAAGATACTTCGAGGATGCTGCAACTTTTAAAATGCCAAGTCAACTGAGACAAGTTTTCGCTTATAGGCGTAATCTAGAAAATTCAAGAGAAATTTGGTACAAATTCAAAAAAATATATCTTATGAAAGACCTCATTCGAAGGCAAGACTTAGAAACTTCCATAAATGTAAGATTGATTGATGTAGAAAACACAATGATGCAACATGGTAAAAAATGTAGTGACTATGAAATTGCACTTCCATACAGAGAAGATATACTCGAAGAAGAAAAAATTAAAGAAGATATGGTCAAATAAATTATTTTGGGAGAAGAATTACAATAACTTGAATGAAGAACATCGGATTATAGTGAACGAAAGAGGACAACAAAGAATAATTTAGCTAGCTGTCTGGACTGGAATTGCTGCCAATTTATTACTAGGAGGCAGAACAGCTCACTCCACGTTTACATTTTCAGTGCCTCTTTTAGAAAATTTCGTTTCAAGTGTTAGAACAAATTGTAAATATGCGGAATTATCGAGAAAAACTTCTCTAATTTTTTAGGATGAAGCGTCGATAGCAGAAAGCATTGTCTTTGATGTCTTGGATAGACCACTTAGAGACGTCACCAAAAATAATGAACTGTTTGGAAAGATAATTATTGTATTTGATGGATATTTCAGGCAAGTATTTCTAGTTGTATGACACAGATCTCGCTGTACGATAGTTGAAGCATCGATAAAAATCTTGGAAGTTTTAGCCGAAAATCAAAAAATGAGAACTGGACTCAAACAACAAGAGTTCAGGGAATGTTTACAAAATATGAGAAACGGACAAATAGGACAAATTCCTCAATTACCAGAAGATTGTTTTCAAATATCAAAATGAGTGTCTAACTGAAGGCGATTTAACTGAAGAAATATCTGGCAAAAAGTTAATACCAGAAAATGTTAAAAACATGAAAGATAGGGCAATATTATGTCCTAAAAATTAATATTGTTGAAAATCAACGATATTGTAGAAAACATTTTAATGTGAACAACATTGTCACTGATGATGAAACAAGTATAGTAACATATCAACAGTTTAATCCCTGAAGGCTTACCGCCACATAGGTTGATGCCAAAAATTGGAACAACAGTCATACTGAAGCCTAGACATTAAGAGAAATGTAGTAAATAGAGTTCGTCTCATTATAAAAAAATCATCATATTAATACAACTCAAGCAGAGATGTCGACTGGTGAGGCTCAACTTACGATAGTTTGATTCAAAGAACTGATTTGACGACATCAGATCTAGCAATGCCATTTAACATCAAGCGAAGACAAGTTTCAAATAAGAATTGCTTTGCGATTACTATCAATAAAGTTTAAGACTAAACATTTCATAAAACAGGATTAGATTGATCAGAAACTGTTTTCAGCCTTGGAAACTTTATGTTGCATTTTCACGAGTCGGAAGTTTTAAGGATATCAAAATTCCAAAAATCATAAAGGCCAAGGAAAAATCACTAATAAAAGTTATCATTCGAGAAAGTCAGTATAGAAATTTTGCAAGATGAATAACATATAAACAAATAAGATAATGTACTGCAAATACTATTAGTTCATTTTGCGAGGGTAATGGTAGTTTAAGTATAATTCCATGCCCCTTAGTATTAACTATATCAGTTTTAGTTAAAATACTTATATAAATCTGTTAACTTATGGCTGGAGGTTCCTCCATTATTTATCGTGTCATACAGAGTGGACTGGCTTCTTAAATTCCCTCCTGCATGAATCATTTTAATTATTATTTTCTTATGAAGGATGGATATTAATATCTTAGTATATTGCGGACACTATAATATATACACCATTTTCTATCTGCAGCTCACGTGAAATACACATTGATATACATTTCATTTGTCTGACAAGTCAATTTCCATCGTCTGAAAAATAATCATAATCATCACGCAAGTTTGAAAGTATTGAAGCAAAAACAACTTAGGTGCGACTTAAAGGAATGATATCAAAATTGGCGGTCAAACTGGTAGCTACATTTATAGCATTGATAAGAATTTTACAGCAAATATTCATTCACTAGTTAGTCAGGCCGCATTTTTTTTTCTTTGTTTAACTTTGGGCATGGTGGTGGGTAAAATAAAATAACTGTCCACCCGTATGATTCTTTTGAAACTTCAGCTACACACTGTTAATCTAGTTTGCTTGGCCTAACCAATATTTGTGTATCTTCACCTTTCAGTTTTGCTCCTTTAAATCAGCCGTCTTTAATCCGAATAACAAAAAACTAAAACCGGCCCATTTTTCTTTTTAGGTGAAGCTGTGGTAAAAATGTTAGACCAATAGCTCACGTGACTTTTTGCGTAGGCGTGCGCAAAAAATTTTCGTTAAATTTGAGCGGTTTTTGTTGAATAACTTTGTACATGTGGCTTATACTTACACCAAATGATAATTGTAGATTGTAAAGATATGTCAGTGTACCAAATTTAAAAAAAAAAAATCCATAAAATTTAAGTATGTTTTTCTATCATATAAAGTATTCATACTTTTGGTGCGAAGACAAAAATATGAAGAAACGCAATCAAAATTGGAGATGTTCTACCTCAGGTATTTCTTAATGGATCGCCTTGAAATTTGGTATCTGAAGTAAGAGTCCATCCATGGAAAATATGTGGTAGCTTGGATTACCACAGTTTGAGATGGAGAAGGTGGTAAATCGCTAAACTATCACTCCTGTTAATAACACACAGTGAGTCCTGCAGGTTGTTTTTTGGCCGCAACAGACACTACCGTCTTGATATCACTATGGGTATTTTAACTGTGCCGGGTTTATTCTAAGTTCAGGGTGTGAATTTTCCGGGTTCCCAATTACCTGCAGAATTTGAACTTGCTAGTATATGCGGTAATGTAGGCATTCATCTTTGAAAAAACAAACAAACAAAAAACTAGTATTGTAATATTACTTCATAACATTTAGGAAACACTGGATAGCGATCTTTTACTGTTATTATTGTTTGTTTGTTTTTTAATTACTGTTTAATGCTTGTTTGGAAAAAACCTTTATCCCTTCATATACTAGAACGAAAATACGTTTACCTGAGGAAAACTGTGAGGGTAAAAATGGAAGGTACTGGATGTAAAGCTAATGTTGTAGTAACAGCTTTCACCAACTCACATACACACATAACAGTAAAGCGTAACTGATAGTAACAAAATTCATTAGGTTGTTAGTTGTACATTTGATGTTGCTGTAATATGTTTCATATTTAGGCTGCAGAAACTATACTTGGGTGACGTGTCAAAACAAGAGACAAAAGACCGCCAGAGTTTTACACATAAACAAAAAAGACGTTTAAAAATGTGCAACTACATGCAGCATTAAATATATAAGTTATTAATTTAATTTATGACATTTGTCATTATTGGATAATTTTTGACAAAAAATAAAAAAAATAATTTTTAATCTACTCTACCTACTTACTGAAGTTTTACAAACGGGACACGAATTACAAAAAACATTTTATTAACTTTAAATATTACGATATTTTTAGAATTACTAGAATATTCTATTTACTCCTCAGTTATTTATGCCGATTTCTTCCACCATAAGCAGTTTCAATGTAGTTATAAAACTTATAAGTCACATATTTGAGTAGACCTACGGCAGTAAATTTTCTGCAGGAAATGCAAATTTATAAGAATCCTTCAGTTTTCACGACAGTAATTTGATAGTCTTAGAATTTTCTGTTCTTTTTTTGAAAAATGTCCGAGTTATTTTACAACTTAAAATACGCTTAAACTTCAAACTGGAAACAAAATCATAGGGTTACACGGCATAATTTTTATTGTCATTTTTTTTAATAAAAGCATTTTCGATATGGAATAAAATGTACAATGTATCTATATAAATATAATAGTACCGTCTGTTGTATGTCCATGTAACTACTTCGCAGGGTGTGGATGGATCTTCACCCATATTGGTAAGGAGGTTCATTGGGAACATGAGGAGATAAATACAAATTTTCAATTTTGCGTTTTGCGGTTTTTTATGGGCGTTTTTTTTAACTACTACTGCGCCCCCTGTTGATGGATCTTCACCAAATTTGGCATAAAGATTTGTTGGGTCCATGCGGAGGTACGTGCAAAGTTGCGGTTTCACATTTTGTGTTTTGCAGTTTTTGGACTTATTTTTGAAATTATATATAAGGGTAGCAACTTTTCATGACATGAATCAACATAATTTCCGTCCAGGGGACAGGTACTCCCAGCTAGTAACAAATAAGTTAAAATACACCCCAGAAATTAAAAAAAAATATCACGCGGCATCATACTTGTGGACGTATTTATTATACATATTGACTATAATGTACGAAAAGAAGTTAAATATACCAAACCGATTTCATTTTTGGGCAAAACTTTTGGAAAACACCCATCTTGAAAAAGACACTGTTGACTTGTTAAGTAATGACTTTTTCGGCGATTCTATTCGTGCTTTTCCTTGTCTGGATAAGATAAACTGTGAAAAAAGTAGAAGATCTTGCATTACATATTAACTGCTGTGGTGAGCCATTTATAATATTATTAGTCAGTCTTGACAACAACCAGATTATCTCGTGCTCTTCATAATAACTCTTAATAAACGTAAATGTTCAACACTGTGCAGTAGTTTTTGTAACGTTACATACTTATTATCCGAATCATGTGGTGTAGTGTTTCCTGCAAAAGTTTTGCACAAAGACATACAAAGAATATTTTCGCTGCCCCTTAATAAACTGAATGAGGGAAAGCGGCTAGTCAACTGCGCCCACAGCCAATTCCTGTCTGGCTGAAGAGTTCGATTTAATCGTCATTTTTGTAACAAATCCATGATCCTAAAGTGCAGAGCATATTTTTATGACAAATGGACGCGAGCCAAGATTGCTCAGGTTTACAGTCCGGGCACACAAACCACCTGGTCCCTGCGTTATGTAAACAACTATTAATCACTATGCTTTGATATAACCGTACTTTTGACGATATTTCCTTACTATTAACTTCTACTACATTTGCTTGTAAACAAACAAATGCAAAACGATGAAGTATCATATACTGACTCGAAACTATCGGGAGGTGAAAGTATGATTAATTTAAAATAAATTTTAAAAAACCTGAAGGATACTGCTAGAAAACGATGCATTTTAAGTTTTATTACAGAAAACAAATCATTAGGGAGATTTACTTAAAATTATATTATTGCATCAGTAACATTAGTTAAAAACCATACCTGTTATACTAAAACCAGGATATGACGTCAGTTTGGCTACATCAATAATCTTAACGGCAAACTGCTGACCGGTAACCTTGTGAAGACAACGACGGACAACACTGAAGGGCCCTCTGGCAAAAAACAAATAATAAAATATACATATATTCATATTACATGCTCTTCACATTTAGTTTGAAAATTTAGTATTGACAAGTAGTTACAAAAGTATAAAAGGAAATTCCACAACCACAATACAGGTAAGTCACTACAGAAATTAAATAGCTCGAAATACTTTGTTCCCTGAAGCGTTAACTAGAGTAGAAGTATCATATTTCACATAAACAAAACACTCAAGTATCTCAAAATAAATTTGGTAACCTAAACATCTCCGCTTTTCTCAATATGTGGTCTTACTGAAGAAAACTTATCATCAAAAAGTAAATCTAACTAAAATTTAACTTATTTTCAAGTATTAGTTTTTAAATGACGCATATATTAAAATCTTACATCTAAAATTTATTAATAGTCCTTTGTCTATTTAGTTTGTTCCTTTAAGAAACCTTAAGTTAAAATTATTTTTTTATTATTCAAAACTTCCTATATATATATTTATAACGAATGAGCTCTAGTTTTCAAGAAATAATTTTGTTTGTTCATTTAATGAATAGATAAAGACATAATTAGTAAACTTTGTGAATGGTATTAAACTCGTGGATATTTCTAGTTGCAACGAGGTCATAAAAGTAATACAGAATTACACGGATCAGTTGATTAGTTTGACAAACATTTGGCAAATGACCTTTAATTACAGTAAGTGCATGATAATAGAAGTGGGTTATCAAGATTTGGAACCCACTCTACAGCTTGACTGTGTAAAATGATTTTGGCACAGTAATGGATAATCACCCAGGGCAGTGGTCTATTTAACATAATTTTAAAACGTGTTCAAACACATGTTGATACACGTCAAAGGATATCATTCTCTCTTCATACAAATAACTAAAATGATTTTATTGAAGTTTACAAGAATAACCGGGATGATGGAAATGTGGGTTTCAGTTATTAATGTTTCTCAAAAGTAAGTGTAAAGGACAGCCTTAAAGGAGTAAATGGTCCATTATTGTCTGAATGTCATGTTAATAAAAAAATCTTATTACATGGTGAAGAAAAGCCTGTTAACTCTGTCATTTATTTGGTTAAAAACTATTCACTTGCAGAAACGACATCGTAGAATAATATTATTATTAATTACTGTTTTTTAAGTTTAAAATACTGCTGTAATTTATCTTTACATACAGACCCTTGAAATATCGTAGTTAGCGTCTTCCCATTAATCAACAAATCTTAGAAATATTAATTAATTCACGTTCAGATAGTATTGACATTGTACTTAGACAAGTCTGGGTACACCAGTTTGTCGTGTCATAAGCCAGCTTGTATGATATGTCTATTAAAAGTGTAAGGCCAGCATTACCCAACATTTTTTTTAAAGGCGCATAAAACTAATAGATGCTAACCCTTGAAAGACCAGAATTCTATCTTTTCATGTTAATTAAATCTACGACAAAAACAACTTAGTGTGTATCTGCCAATAGCTGCTGTATTAGTATTTTGTCTTTCACCTGTGTATCGTTTCGCTACCGAGTGTTAGTGATTGAACCATGTTAAGTAACTTGGTTTTTACCACATGTTCCTGTAGAAAACCAAATCACTCACGTACACGGTATTTTGCAAACTTATATGTACAAGTAACGTCATTAAAACTTTTTTCGCATCTTTATTAAAACATTATTCTCCCCCCTCCCCAACACTTAACTGTCAATCAAAAATTTTTTTAACATACAAACTTTGACGTCTTATATCAAAACGTTCGGTCACCATAAGCGTACTATTTTATTTGCAGTCAATTAATGTCAAGTACGGCTGCTATTTTCAGGGCTTGACTGGGCTCAGAAATTATTACATTCGGAGAGATCTGCTGACGTACGCAACTGGCTTCAATAAATGCTTATCTGAGGATCGGAATGCTTATTCATACTCGTTACCATATATAATAAGCGAACAGACATTCATTCTAATTATCAATGCCAAGAGGTCACAAAGTGTCAATATTTTGACACTAACACAAGAAAACTTTGAGTTTCCTTTTTTAATTATTTTGACAACTCTAGTTCCCAGGCACTCTTATACTGATTGTCTGTAGAGAATTGTGTTTCTCAGAGTTAATTCAAGAAATTACAAGTGTGTATGTGTATTTGTTTCTAGTCTTTTTTGCTCGAGTTTAAGAACAACTATTCTTATTTCACTAAAATTAGCCTCAGGTTTTCTAGAGCTTTTTCAGATGCTTTCCAAACTACTCCACTATACATATATAAGTTTCCAGTAAGAAAAAATAAATTAAGTTTACCTCCAAGGTGGAATGTTGCTCTCTTTCGCGCTGTGATTACCTACTGACACTAAGCGCTTCTTAATTTGTATATATAATGGAAGGGGGGGATGGGTAGTGTTTGTTTGTTTTGATTTTCGCGCAAAGCTACATGAGGGCTATCTGCGCTAGCCGTCCCTAAGTTAGCAGTGTAAGACTAGAGGTAAGGTAGTCAGTCATCACCACCCACCGCCAACTCTTGAGCTACTTTTTTACCAACGAATAGTGGGATTGACCGTCACATTATAACGCCTCCACGGCTGAAAGGGCGAGCATGTTTGGTGGGACGGGGATTCGAACCCGCGATCCGCAGATTGCGAGTTGAGCTCCCTAACCTCCTGGCCATGCCGGGCCCAGATGGATAGTGTGCCTAATATAATGTACATCACTAATACTAACACATTAACCCTCTTTTGGAACATTACACAGTGTGTATTGTACTTTGCTATCAAGAATGAACGAGCTCCATCTCTAAGTTTCGTTTTCATTACAACTAAATTCTTAATTTTCTTTCGAGTGACAGTTGTGGGTGAACTGACGACTTTATTCAACAACTCAACACACAAATATCTCTTACACGGTGTGTTGCATTGCGGGAAGAATACTTCTGTTTAAGTAATGTATGATTCAACACAAATATCTCTTACACGGTGTGTTGCATTGCGGGAAGAATACTTCTGTTTAAGTAACGTATGATTCAACACAACTATCTCTTACATGGTATGTTGCATTGCAGGAAGATTTGTTTTTTAATTTCGCGCAAAACTACATGAGGGCTATCTACGTTAGCCGTCCTTAATTTAGAAGAGATAGACTAGAAATAAGGCAGCTGGTCAACACCACCCACCGCCAACTCTTGGGCTGCTCTTTTACCAACGAATGGTGGGATTGAAAGACACATTATAACGCCCCCACGGCTGAAATGGAAAGCATGTTCGGTGACAGGGATTCGAATCCGCAGATTGTGAGTCGAGAGTCCTAACCTCCAGGCCATGCCAGGCCTATTTCGGAAAGAATACTTCTGTTTAAGTAATGGTATGTAGTGTGCAAGTCCCTCATCACGTCAGTTCACATAGGTCCTACAGAGTAAAGGTACCATGTCGGTCCATAAACAATGGAGAAAACAAAGCTAAAAACTTTTTATCAATATGTGGTCATTTATAGTAGAAAATCGGTGATACTATTGGTGTGACTTACCTCTTAGCTCCTGTTTATTCATCCAAAACATTAAATAAATCAACGACTTGGGGAAACAAGTTATGAAAGATGTGAAAAATATAGACAAAACAGTCACAATACTTTACATGCGTTTCACTTCAACTTATGACACTGATATTTTAAAAAATGCCTTGAGTTCTAAGGTTCAATTATAATAGGCATTAACAAATTACTCAGTACCAAAAATATATATATGTATAAAACTGGCAATTAAAATAAAGATACAACATTTATGAATGTAATGGTTGCTAAAACATCAATTGGCCTATTCTAACGTTCATAATTTGAACGCAGTTATAATACTTGATGGGTTAACTACTGAGAAATAGAAAAGGTAACGAATAAAGTTCTTTATTTTTACAATACCTGTTGAATTTGTATGCATTAAAGATGACTCATAATATACAACCTGCCTTTGGCAGTGGAATCTATTTTTTCATCTTGACATTAATTTACCTTTCTAAATATTAGCTTTCTGGTTATTCATTCTCGACTTATGACGTTAAAATAGACCATCTAACTGTTGGTTTATAACACGTATTTTTGTATTTCATTTTAACATTTTCTTAGAATAAAAAACCTTGTCAGCAATATGAAGTTAAGAACATTAAACCACCACTTATGCTCTACTTCGCACGTCAAATTTTTTAGGACAAATGTCAGGACACAGCTAGACCCTCTGTGTTTTTCACACTAGCACCCAAAAACAGTATTTTAGGTGATATCATAAAGGCTTAGTATATTCCCACTACTACGAATTTCTTTCCTGAACACTGGCTCACCATAGCTTTGATACACAGGCGAATCTACTGGACACTACAATCCAACAGGATAATGAGGAAACAAAAACATGGTTATGTGACTACATACTTAAAGAAACAATGGTTATAGGAGATTAGGTGTTTGCCCAGAATAGTACAATACATCTGTGTATGTCAAATGGTGAGATTATTTGTTTTAAAATCTCATATTGGATTGTTAAGCATGCAGAATGAGTTATAATGTACACCATTTGTTAAGCATGCAAGATGAGTTATAATATACACCATCGCCTGCATAATGTGGTATGTGAGGATGTTGGTTGTTTCTTTTCCTTTTAATTTAAAAAAAGATGAATATTTCTTATTCACAGAAATGTTGGAAAATTTTCACACATGTATGCGTTTAATGCAAGTGTAGTACAAGTAACGTTAAGATGACTGGCTTGAGAATGAAGTGACTATATTCTTGAGGTAACCACACACAGTCAAGGGTCATTCCCTATTGGTGCTGCTAAACTCTCCCGCGAAAGGTGTTGTTAGAGAATTCCTTAGACATGCACTAATACGTCCAAAAGCGACCAGATTTCGTAAGTATATTAGAATATCTGGGAGAGTTGATCCTACCGTAATATGTACATAGTGGCTTATTGAATTTTATTCTCTGAGTCTTAGTCAGATTTACCTCGCGATTTCTTCAGATCTTCATCTAAGATTGATCTCTTATGCG